AACAGTTATATCAAAACTTTGTAAAACTAGTTGAATATTGTTAGTAGCCTCTCCAGAATACCACTGTGGTGTCTAAAGGTGTGAGAGGCCAGTCAGTTTTTGCAGTCTGAAGAATTTTTTAAATGCCAAACAAGCCACAGCAAGCTTCAAAGTGTTAAAAGTGGCTTGTTTGGCATTTGAAAGTGGTTTCAAAGTGCAGGGAGCAGTGAAAGTCTAATTTCCCCTGCAGTGTCCCTGAGCAGTGGAGAGGAACAGAGACGAGGGGAACTTTATGCATGTTATGCCTGATGGTCTGTTGATCATCTTGGGGTAGGATGGTGCATGGAAAACATTGCATAGGCCATGGAACAGTGCAGCACCAAGTTTCATGCAAGGGGCGAGTGGGTGTCCAAAATAAAAATAAACATGGTGGAAGGGAGAGAAAGAGGGAGGGAGCGGGTAAGCCTGGAATCCAAGAACTTCTGGCTTTGTTCCTGATAAACAGAAATGTTTTCCTGCTCCTGATGTTAAAGAACCACACTGAGGGTGAGTGATGTGAAGACTATCCCTTTTTAATTCATGAATCCACATGAATTATCACTGGTAAACTAATTCCTACCCCATCATATGTTATTTTGTCTACAGGAATGATACTTTGGAACTGGTCCAACCAAATGGTTTAGCCCATATGAACTGGACCTAAGAGATGCCCCAAGACGAGAAGAGAGATTAGGTGGGACATGCTTATTTCTAGATTTCAATTTGTAATTTTATTTTGGGAGAAATAGAGAATAGAAATGATTGAGAATCCCCTTCCCTCTAGTTCACGTAGGTGTGGCTCAGAAACAGACATATCTGCTCCCCTCCCCAGAATGTTTGGGCATGTGGAAGTACCCTTTCCATACACAAATGGAGACACACAAAGCCCATGCCTGTGAAGCCAACAGATGTACGTAATTGTCCATATCACTTGTGGCTTTTATATTTAACCATATGATCTGAAAACTATTCTTAACATTTTTCCCCCCAGTGGTCAGGTTGTCTCCGTAGAAAATGCTGTAAACATGGTTGTTTGGCAATTTCCATTCCAGACTAAACCAAACCATGGAAGAACTAATCCCCACTATCAAGAAAAGAAAATTGTTACATTCAAAAGGTTAATCAACAAATGCAAAAGAAGCATGCTTGAATGACAACACAGAATGTTAGAAAAATGAATTACCCTAGCAAAGATTGAAGCGCATTAAACATTAAACATGATTCATTTTTATGTACATCTTGGACAATAGTTTGTCCTAGACATGTTTGCGATATGCATTAATAAATCAGAAGAAATGCAGTTCTTATAGTGTATGGATAAGGCCTGATCCACTTAAAATGACAGATTTGCTAAACACCAAAGAGACTCCTTTTTATCAGTAGAGATGGAATTCATTCATTCATTCGTTTATTTAGAAAGCTTCTATGCTGCCCCATTCTCCGAAGCCTCTGGACGGCTTACAACAATAACTCTCATGAGGAAGCTCTCATGAGGAAGCCGCAAGTACACCTGTGGAGTTACTGGTAGCACTGACTGTGTTCCCACCAGTAGAAACGAGCAGATGGCCCGAGGAAGCGGCGTTCTAAAGGCAGGGAGGAACAGTTTGGAATCACTGAATCCCCTATTTCCAGCAAGGCCCCATGGCGTTGGGATATTTTCCCTTTCACGGAAATCCATGGTAAGAAAGAAAACAGGGGGCAAGATTTGAAGAAAGCAAGTTATGTCCCATTGAAACGCATGTCACTTCTGCTATTTCTAGTTGTCATAGCCAGTTTCGCTGGTCTTTCTTTCCTTCTCTCTCTTTCTTTGTACGTGCGTTTGCTGATTGAATTTTCAGTCATTTTTACCCTCAGTCTTTCTTTGCAGACCTTACTGCATTTTCTATGGAGAAGTGCCCTCTGCCTTAGACACATGGAAGCTTCTGACCTTGGGGGTTTATGCATGGAAATCTTATGGTGCTCCAGACAATGCTAAAATGTCACATGGGCGCTAATCCTACAAGAGTCCCAGAGAGAGCATTGCTTTGAGTTATACTTCATGAAGGACAGCAAAGATTTTCTTCTACCCTTTTGGATCATAGGAACACCAGATTTCTGTCAGTGCATATATGCTCAGCTTATTTACTCTGAAAGTTCAATGGTTACCTCTGCCACTATTTTGTTGAAATTTTGTAAGACCTTCATGGAGCATACAAAAGTTGCAGGCTGCATTCCTAAAATACATGCCTGGGAATAAGGCCCGTGCATCGTATTTCTGAATAGCTATGTGTCGATTGCACTGTAAGTAGCTCCTCCACTGGAACTTAGTAAGGCCTATTTTTTTCTGCTTTTTCTCTCCATACCCTTTATCCATAGGTATACTGACTAGGGATGAATATTCCTTTGATTAAACAGAAACCCTTTTGCATTCAATGCCATAAAAGTATGATGGTCTTTACATCTTTACCAACTTTATGAGGAGCCATTTTTCTAACTTTTCCTGATATCCACAGGGACTGCATTTTATATATTTATCAACATCTAATTTATTTGATACTTTTCGATTTAATCACTAGATTATGCAATAGAGTATTAGAAATTATTGTCTCAGTAGATCAGTTTTTATCTCTTCCCATGACTTGCATGTCTAAAGAGGAGTGTGCGCATGTGTCTGTGCATGCTTGTATGTGTGTGTGTAAATATCTTGCCTGAGTTATTTTAAATTTTTATTTTCCCAGTGTTCACCTCAAGACAATGATTCATTGAAAAGCTAGGATAACCTAGAGCTTCGATTCCAGAATTCTCTCTCTCTTTCAATATTGTCTCTTATATGTTTTTAACTGCAGCCAGTGTGGGTCTGTAATTTATTCATCTATGTAATATTCATAGTTATTTCATCTATGTAAGCTGTCCTGAGGCTTTTGCAATAGGACGGCATATAAACATTCTAAATAAATAAATAAATAAATAAATCAATCACTGTACTTCTGACATTATTGCTTTTTATTATTTTGCAAGCCAGCTTACCCTCTTGGTATTTCTTCTCTTAAAGCAACAAAACACCTGATAGGAGATCAATCAGTATTCTGCATTTACTATAAAACTCCTCAATTATTTCTTGGGACCTTTTTATACTCTTTAAGTTTTATTTTCCTCTCCAATCATTTTCCAGTTTAGGGTCCCAGTATGATTTCCTCTAGATACTTTGTTCTTCATTGGTTCTTTCAACAACTTTTTAAAAAGAAGTTAAAGTTTTAAGTCTTTATGAAATAAGAACATAGCAAAGCCTCTACATTCACCCCTTCATATTTCATCTCAAGACTTTTCACTAAGAGAGGACTTGCAGGGGACTGCTGCAGAAGGGAAAATGCCTCATTGCCAAAGGTCACCTTGAAAACCCATATTCACCACAGGGAGCAAAGAGTTTTAATTTCATGTTTTTATAATTTTCAGACTATCTGGAGGAATGTGGTGGACACACTGCACTTCTCTAGCTCTGGAGAGGTCCTGCACTTTATTTATTTTTAGTTTCACTTTTAGCATTTTATCTCTAGGAAAGGATTTCTGAGATATAACAAATCTGACATGCCTCTTCTCACTAGATAAGAGTAAAAAACTTGAGCAAAGTCTGTAAAGGAGGAAATGTGGTAAACAGATGACAGCCAAGAAGACCACAGTGGAAAGGAAGGAGAAATAGATAGCACTTGCGTCCTCAGAATCCCCACAGATGCCTGTCTCAAGGCTCCAGGCATTAACACCCGACAATGAACCCTACTCCATTGCCCTTGGAGCTGCTGAAGCTGCAAGGACAGCTGCACAGAGAAGCAAGAGGGACTGGGTTCTCAGGGAGGAGAACATTCCTCAAAATATGCCATGAGAATGACACTTCTGCCTCTGCTGCTGAGCCTCCTACAGACCTCTGGATGCACAGAGCAGCCAAGCAAGTCCAGTGTTCGCCACAGAGCAGTATAGAGGAACTATGCACTGGCTTCGTATCTAGCCTTCTCTCACACTCTCAGCCAACAGAAGCAAGTGCACCATTTCCATGAAGGGTCTTGTCATGCACATATAAGCTACACTGATGAGAGCAAAGCCATCTGCGTCAGGGAGCCATCTATGGCCCAAGCTAGTCCAAGGTCCTCAGTGATTTTTCTTGCCTGTGAAGCAGAACAAACTGAAAGTTTATTTTAACATGTATTAATAAATGTATTAATAAACCTAGAGTTCCAGTGCAACTCCCTTCACTGGAGGTCTGAAAGAGGTTGCAACACATGAAGTTCCAGGCACAGAAATTGCAGAAGCTACCAACAGGAAAGTGGGAAGCTCGGCTGACAGATACAGGTCCCTCCCTCACTCAATCATACCTAACGAGCACCTGGTTTCTGCCACTTCCTACGGCATCTGTGATTTTGCACACAAGTGTCCTCATGCCAAGGCATCCTGTGCAGAGGAAGACACTGCCATCCCTTTCTGTCTTCCTGTGTGTTGCATGTGGATGCTGTCCTTGCACTTCACCGGTGATCTCCAGAAGATAAACCACACTGGGATTCCATCAAGCCTTATGGGACTGAAGCATTTCTGTGCTGCTGGATGGCAGTGAGCAGTAGCAGAATTGCTTTCAGATTCCAGAAAAGTGTTGCTCCAGACACAAATCCACCATCTGCACAAACTGTAATTTGTGCAACGGTGGAGGAACCTTGAAATTCACACTTTTAAAAAATGGCTATCCTGTGCAATTGTTCACTATCCTAAGTTTGCCTGCACAAAGCCACATTCCCCTCTTGCAAATAACCTGGCCAGATTGATTCTGGTCACAGTTTACTTCATTTAGCCCAGCTGAGCCATATTCCCTGCTTGTCAAAGAACTTGTCAATTGTATCCTTCACTTTGACACCTCCTGATCAAGGGTGTTAGAAGGGAATACTATTATATTACTATCCACGAGAGGAAAAGAAACTGATATTGTGTCGGCTGTCTTTAAAAACATAACTATGAACTGGTACCTTTGTTGTTGTCCATTCCACCTACGGCATACAAGGTCCCGACTGTGGATTTTCTTGGCTTAGTTCTTGGGCTTTGCATCAGAGTTCGTCTTTCTGGCAAAAGATGATATTTCATGGCTTCCAGAATCAGCTTCTGACATTCCAAGTCATCTTTAAAAAGTGCATGGTTTTCTAGGTCAGCTAAAATCTGTAAATTATATGAGTTGTGATTTAATCATGACATCCCATTCCTTAGAGCCCGATCCCTAGAGCCCTCTGCTTGCACAAGCTTCAGCGACATGAATAGGACTTGGGCTGGCAGACGACCTTGAGGTGGGAAGCCTAATAAATAGACAGAAATGAAATCCACGAGAATAGCAGTCCAGATTACAGAAGCAATGCGATATGATCACCGAGTCGTCTTGCAGGAAATAATAGCGGGAATCAGTGTGCATCTTTGTTAACTGGAACTCAATCAGTGTAACAGCTGATGTTTATTCATATCCATGTTAGTTCTAAATGAATCTGCAGACAAAAACTTACATGAATGATGCGCTTCCTTTACAAATAAGGACCAGGTACTTAGAAAAACTAGGTGCGACACTTGGCTGAATTCTCTGTCCCCCTTCTCCTTTACGGAATGGTTCCATTTTCAGGTTATAAAATTTGACAGGAAATTTAAAGAAAGTATGATTTCCGACAGGGAGCTTACTAAATCATTCTGTACCTCTGAGTTGAGTGTTTGCTTCCATTCCCTCACAAGAGTTCCAGCACATGTGCCCTGCAACCTTCTGTGCCCCCGCAAAAGTCTAAGAAAGGAGGTGCTTTGGTACCTGAACCTTCCAAATCTGAGGTGAACTGCTGCATGTTCCGTATTTCAGAAAGAAGTGTAGCCACTATCCTTCTCCCTGGCATTTATTCTATCACAGGAAGGGTTCTGTTGTTGTTATTGTTGTTTTATGGAGGTATATTCAGTTAGTTTATTTTAGACATCACTACATCTGCAGCCTGAAATGCGACAGCCCAGATACAGATTGAGCACCTTAAGTAGTGAGCTAGTTGGCACAACCCAGTGCAGCTCATCACGGACAATGTAACCCACAAAGACCCACAGCCATCACTTTGCATATAATGGAAACCGTGGCATAAGCCATGGTCTGTTCTAGCGTTAACCTTCACATAATCAACGCCCATCAGATTAGCATTATATGGCTGTGTCCAAGCAGGGAGTGGATATGCAAAAAGGTGGCAGCAATCACTGCTGTGTGGTGCGAGCCAGCCTCATATCTGCACGTGTGATTTCATCTGAAAGAGTCTCCAGCAACTTAAGGGTTGTTTCCAAGCTGAAGCGCATTGGCTAGGAAAGCCATAACGCCACTCTTTTGTGCTTGCAAGAGTTACACCACCCAGCAGTGGTCACGATTCAAGTCAGATTGTCTCAGCCACAGTCAGATTCAAGCTCCATCCATGCAGGAAGACCCAGACCCGGCCCAGACAGGGCAGAACTTTGAGAGCTGGTTTACTCTTCATTGGAAACCAGTGCAGGAGTTTGAATTACCCAGCATAAGCACGTGCGTTCCACAAGCCTTGCTACCTTCCTATGAAAACCAGCCTTCCTCTAACCCACTGATTAAAAATTAGTGTTGTGCTGAATATTTTGCTTCTTCCACCTTCAGCAGCTCATGGGAAGGTAGGGGAACAAAAGGAAAACTCACATAAGTGAGGAAGAAGGCAGAAAAGAAATTGGTTTCAGATAAGTTTCTCCTTGGGAAGAAGAGCATAGTTTCTGCGTATTTTTTCAAGGGTAGGTGATGGCTTAACTTTTTTTTTTTAACTTTAAAAATGCACCCCGTCCTTGCAGCAGCCTGGGGCCCTGTAAAAGTATTAATGGACGCCCTTTGGATTTTCCACTGTTTGTTGAATTGAAATGGATGCTACTGACATTGTTAGCACTTGACATTTGACACTGCAACGGGGAGTACTGCTATTGTGGCACAGACACTAAGCAAACAAAAACTGGCAATAACTGCCTTGATAACTATACACTCCCTTTGCTATGCTTTGCCTAAATAAGTACTGATGCAAGTCACTGCCTCCAAAAGTCACACACTGAAGTCTACCTGTGTGTGCTTCCAGTGCAATTTGATCTCAGATTAAATACACCTGTTTCTGGAAGGCCCAGAGCTTGTTGGAGAGCATACCTAAATAAACAGCATCACAAAAAACAAGGAGATATCAGAACAACTCCAGGATTTAGTTGTGCAGAAACATCAATCTGGGTTGGGTTACACAGTAAAAGAAATTTCTGAATTGTGAATATGTCTCAGAGGACAGTTACAAAACGGAAAGAATTTCCATAATTCATGTTGAGAAGCATACAATTCAACCATGAATCTGCCCAGAGATGGCCATTCACCAAAACTCAGTGATCAGGAAAGGAGAACATCAACCAGAGAAGCAGACAAGAGGCCAATGGTAACTCTATAGAAGCTGGAGAGATCTGCAACTGGGATGGCAGAAACCTTCCATGAGATGATTATCACCTGGACACTCCACAAATTGGGCTTTATGGAACTGAAGTTAAAAGAAAGACACTGTTGAGACAAAGCCATATCAAGGGCTCTTAGGAATTTGAAAAAAGGGATGTGGGAGACACAGCAAGCATGTGAAAAAGTGTCTCTGGTCTGGTAGGACCAAAATCGAATGTTTTGGCCCAGGTGCAAAATGCTGTGTGTGGTCCAAAGACAACAGTACGCACTGGGCTGAGTCCACTATCCCCATGGTGAAGTATGATGGGGCAGCATCATGTTGTGGGGATACTTTTCCTTGGCAAGGTCTGGGAAACTGGTCACAGTTGGGAGCAAGACTGATGGAGTTAAATGCAGGGCTCTTAAGAGAAAAACTTGTTTCAGTCTGGGATTAGGTTGGAGGTTTACCTTTTGACAGGACAGTGATCCTAAACACACAACCAAGCAACACTGGAGTAGTTCCCAAATGTGTAGGATGGTCCAGCCAAAGCCCAGATCTCAATACAACTGAGTGCAAGGCTTGGAGCCTGCTGTTCACTAATGATCCTTCTCCAACCTGATGGAACTGGTACAATTGTTCCAGGAAGAAAAGGAGCCAGGATGCTTTGCAAAGAAGCTTCTGCAGCCCAGGTACTCTTCCTCCAGGCCTATAAGGAAAGTCCTGCAGTCTCATGGACTTTGAGAAATGTTGCTGTGTTGGAGAAACCTTGCTGCAGAATCCCAAGCTGCTGCAAATACTTTTTTCTTAATTTAAAAAAGTGGGGATAGAAAAGATCTTTCATCCACCTCCTAAACTTAAAAGGGTATATGGAAAACCTCACAAAGAAGAACACAATTTAAAATTCTCCCCCTCTCTGAAAAGGAGAAGAAAAAAAGCCTATTTTGTCAGGAGAGAAAAACATCCTGAAAATAGAGGACAGAGCTTGGCACACCATTATTAAAAATATGAAAGGGGAATAGGAGCTATTAAGACTCAGAGATGAATTCAAAAAGGTTATTTACAATGTTGCCTTTTATTCTCTGAAGTACAAAGATGCACCACCACTTCATATCAAGCAATGGATCGTCAGAAAGTTGAGGAAATTGAGCCTTTGCTGGCATGTACATAGAAGAATGTGGATGTTGCATCCTGGCCAAGTTCTTGTGGAAGTAGAATGGTCACCCAGTTAGTTCACTATGTATAATTAGTAAATTATATGCAAGGCATCTGTAGAACACATTAATTGATTGGATAACTGATGTAGCTATTTTGAACAAGGGACTGGACAAGGTAGATCCACAGTAGATCATCACTTTGTCCCAACCCATTTAATAAATATACATGTCAGGGAACCTTCATTGATCTGAAGGCAGTATTTCAGTCAATATCCTGTACATGACTTTGGAATAAATTAAACCCCCAAACTATCAATAAAAGACTCCTCTTTTTCTTATATGTTTCTATAGTAACAGCTGACTTAAGTGCAATTTTCTACAGATGGACAACTTACAAGATCTGTGCTAGTCTTGAGGGGAGTCAGACAAGGTTGTATTCTGGCTCCTGCCGTTTGATCTTCGTATAAATGCTGTTGTCAAGAATTCAACATCTCCAGCGTTCCATGCCCCTAAATTGGCTACAAAATCTGTCTCCATCCTTGTGTACAAGATGGTGCTGTAGTCTCTCAAATGAAAGTGGACCTAAAAAGATTTCTGAGGGCATTTTTTGTTTTTGTTGTGAGCCACCCAGAGGCTTCGTTGCGATGGGGGTGGCATAGAAATGTTTTAAATTAAATAAATAAATAAATAAATAAATAAATAAATTTTATGAATATTGCCATACAGAAGACCCAGCTGAATCACAAGAAAGCTAAAGTGATGGTGTTCTCGAGAAAACACAAGGTCCACAGAATAAGTTAAAGTCTTTGACATCTTGGAGTGTTCTTTCAGCCAATGGGTCTTGGTGAGCCCATCAGAGATAAGTGGGGGGAAAGGCATCTCAGAGTTCTAAAACTCTGGCATACTTTTTCTACACAAAAAGAACAACTCTATACTTTCAGCATTTGATGTTTTATAGCCAAACCTTTAGCACAGTTACTTTGTGGGGCACAGATCTGGGTGGATGTCTATTCCAGAGACACAGACGCCCATCTAAATTTTTAAGACTTCTGTTCTATGCTTTGTTCCAAAGGCTTGTTGCATCTGGAAACTGATCTTCCTTCTATCGATCTACAGGCCTGGAATAGGACACTTAACAATCGGCACTGATTGTACTTAACTTCCATTGGGTTACATTCTTTGATTCTGCAGGACTCTTGTGAATGTACTTGAATGAAGCATATCATCTCACAATTTCAGTCTTCTGATTTATCACCACAGCACTTCTTAATGTTACAATTTGCCAAGGAAGACTTAATCAGACAATGCTTCCCTTATCTTGAACAATAGAATAATGTGGCTATTGCAAGACAAGTCTTCCCGTGCCATGGCTATTTTCCATCTAGGACTTTTTGATACATTGAAGCTTAACTTGCAAAATTTAATAGTGTTAAAACACAGATGGGCTTTTACTTATGCAAGACTGAATATGATCTGCACTTGAGGGAGAATTTAGAAAGAATTCCTTTGGAAAATCACTTTGGCCCACACTGAGCTGGCAGTATTGAAACAGTAGCTTGTGTATTTTTATTTTGTACTTTCTACA